CAACAGATTTGAAGAGAGCAATAACCAATACACTAGTTTATGGGAAAATAGAGAAAACAAAATTGCCGTCAAAAAATGTACAAACAACAGTAACAGATGGAACAGCAAAAACAGACGGAATAATGACTGAGACAATGTTTTATGTATGACCTGAACTATGACTGAGACAATGTCTTAAATAGTATAGTTAAAATATCTATAAAATATTAAAATAATAAAAATAATGTAACAGTTCTGAATTTGTTCATTGTTTCCTTTTTCTCCATGACTGGTAACATCGTCAAAATTGAAATAAGATGTCAAGGAAACGGTACAGTCAGTGACCAGCAAATCGAAGTCTGAACATGGATTTTAAGTCGGGTTTGAGAAATGTTTTTCTAATCTTCGACTTGCATTTGGATTTACATGATGCGTGAGTTGCTCGACCTGGAATCGACGTTTGTTTAATGTGCATGGTTATTGAATTTAAAATTAAAGTTTAATGTAACTTTCACCACATAGCTGAGATTATATAAAATTAATCGGAAAAAAGACGGACTATATTTCTAGATGAAAATCTCACTTAACCAAGAAAAAATAAGATGGGCCATCTGTTACTATTGTTTGTACATTTTTTGATGATAATTTTGTTTTCTCTAATTTTCCATAAACTAGTGTATTGGTTGTTGCTCTCTTCAAATCTGTTGTATTGATGGCTGCGACTGTAAATTGACTTTTAGCGTATTCTAGAAAGAATTTGCACTAACTCATATTATACCTTTATAAGTCTTCACTCCTCAGTATTCCTTTTTTCAACCATATCTTGACTGAGATCGCTACAAGAACTAAACGTACCCCAAACTTTAAAAATATTTCGTGTTAAAACATCAATGAGTCTTGTCGGTGTTTGATGCTCACATTGTCTTAATGTTCCTGCATTTAACGGTATTGCCTGAAAGCAAGTGTACGAAAGATAATTTAAACGACATTTCTGACCCTCTCAAATATCGACTTCCATTTTTTTCAAAAAAGTCAGCAGATTTCAAAGCAGCTGATCTGGCATTGTTTACTGTACTAAATTTTATGAATTAAACGGAATAAATAAACAAGACCATAATCTAATACGTTTAGAAAGATCAACAGATTTAAGAAGGCGGGGTATATAATTCGAATAGAATTCTCAATGACCTGATTTGAAGGTCATACACGGCCTAATGTTGTCGATCATTGAAAACAGTTTGTTGATTATGTTCCGTGTCGTAAAGACCATTATTATGCATTGACTGATGGTGATCAACCATACTGTAAAAAATAAACACACACATAAAGTGGACGCCAAGTCGATTCCTAGTGACCGTCTAGAATGCACGGCGTAGGTGTATAAAGTAACCATTGACCAGTGACTGTCTAGCTCTACACACCGAGGCCAATGGTTTAGTCTAATTGTCTAAACTATCTGTCCTGAAAATGTCTCAGGTCCATCATCAACAGAATTGCAAGGCGAAGATGATGTCGTTCTACTTGACAATGGGCAATCGCTGAACCTAAAACTAAGAGAAAAAACGAGCATTTTAAATGTTTCTGACGTAAAGAAGAAGATATGAAAACTACATAAGAATTAAAACTAAATTAAATGATTCGGAAAATGACTAGTTTTCAATATATAATCATCTAGGATTAGTAATATTAGCATCTAGAATAAACAATTGATAATATTAAGAATCCATTGAGATTCTATAGTCTAACATGGATTGTAAAGTATGCAAGAGTGTTCATTATTCAGACTGCTCAATATAACAAAAAATTACAGAAAATCGATTAGATATATTTTGTTTTATTCTTCTTGAATAATTGTTAACTTCTATTAATGTAAAAAGTCATCCGAAAAAACATCTTTGTGAATCATGAAGAACGCGAGACGAAAAGGAATTACCTGCTATCATATGATTCTCGATATATCTATGTGATTCAGTCTCGATTCGTCGACATGTTAATTAATTTTACTCATTTGTCAGCATTTTATAGCACGAATCGGGACGATACCATTTATTTTTTATATCATAAATGATTTTGTTGTTCGAAAAGAGGTTAACAATATTGACATTATCATGTTGCATGACAGAACAAATAGCGGGAACCAACAAAAATAAATAAGTTACGAAAAAGTGCATTCTCAGCGTGCAGTTTATCAGCTCCTTTATTATTATTCTTACAATTAGGTAATGTAGTACAAATTCTATAATACAGAGAGAAAAAAGAAGAACAATAAGAGTAGGAAGAACAGAAAGGACACGTCAAGAAGAATTAAGAAATAAAAGCAGTTTAAGAGACAATTTGTGAGCGCGTAGAGAAAATAAAAATTATTTCTAAGTACGATCTTTGTATTCTCTATTCAAAGTTGGCCATAAATCCAAATTTTACGTCTCAGGAAACGTTTCTTTACGAAGCATCTTTTTATGCACAAAATCAAGTTCAAGTATTGCGCAGCTTTAACGGGTACAAGTATATAGCGCTCTACGACGTGCTTCAGAGTGGCCCATACTATTTCAATTACAGCACATTAAAGTACGGAAATATTTAAAAGTACGGTATTAGAACTCCGTACTTATTTTTAGTTCGGGGTTCGAACGCCCATTTCATGATGTTTTTAACCTTTTGGGTAGAATTAGTATAGCTAATTACATTGAGTAGCACAAAAATGTTATCTGTGGATTGATGTTTTTTAGATTAAAAATTCCTGTCTAAGGTATCTTACACTGCTCTCTTTATTCATCAAAGATGTTACTTCGACTTTGATCTTATCATCTTTCGCACTAATTTATTTTCCTGCTCCAAGTTGATAATCTTTAACTACAAACGATCAGGCGATAAAGGTTTACTTCCATCTCGTTTTATACCCCATCTATAAAAGATCTTTTTCACTGCAAGATTTCTGTCGGATGTTTGTGTGTCTTGACAGCATTCTTATCAATTATAAGAAAGTCCTAGAGAATCATTATTAATCTGTACTTGCTATGAATCTTATTCAACACAAGTTCACTATTAAAGCCGCTGACTACCGCTGTCGAACCGATTTATGAGGCCGCAATAATTGATTTGATGCGAGAATGTTTGAAAACGGTTGAAATGCGTAAAGAGATCTATGATATTGTTGATCACCACAATGGCAGTATCGAGAAAGCAAGCGCGAATATAGTGAAAACTCTTTTCAAGTCGATTCTCACATCAATTAATGATCGATTATCGAGTATTAATAATCGGCTCAAAGCTAACAAGGAACATAACGAAATTATCGCTCAAAAGATTGTTAATATCGAGAGAAGATCACGCTCATATAATCTTAGATTTATTGGAATAAAAGAAAACGATAATTGTAAAGAAAAAATAATTCGATTAGCTCAATCAATGAAAATTCCAATATCCGTTCACGACATCGAAGTAGCCCATCGCGTAAAAAGGAGAACAGCAGCACCGTGCCGTTATCGCTTGTTTCTATTCACGAGAAGTACGTTATGCTCTACTAGAAAAAATTATTTGATTTACAATACCAAGCGGGATTAACTGTTAGTGAGGCTTTGCGACTGGCTAGCAGAGAAAAGTTCTCCACTTTAGGCAGGATCGATTTCACTGATCTTTTCAGAAAACACAAACTTGTTATTTTATAAAATTATGAATGATCTGAGCCCAGCATACCTATCAGGGTTTATCCCTCCAGTCGTGACCTTCAGACACCAAAGCAACGCTCATATTAATAATAAAATTCAAACTATTCAAACAAACAGCACAACCTTTCAGAATACCTTCATTCCGTCGATGATAATCGAGTGGAACCTCTTGTCGAATGATGTAAAATCTAGCAGCACTCTTAAGCTATTTGCCACAGCTCTCAATAAATCAGTTTACTCCACATCGCCTGTATATAGAGTGCATAATATCCCAAGACAGCTTGATATTCTCTACTACCAAATTCGAACGCACATTATATTATCTGTTCTAGCAAGCACTTTTGTTATGCACAGCAATATAATGGTTCGGTTTTTTTGTTTTATTCTATCTTCTCTCTGTTCTTTTTTTTTCGAAGTGATAAATAAAGTTTAAACGGATTGGACTCAACTGAAATACAGTCCATGTTTTAATCTCAGTTGAGAAACCAATATTTCTGCGAAAATATTCTTTTCTCAACTGACAAGGGGGGTACCCCAACTGATAAATCGCTTTTTCAACGAAACCGAGTAGACTATAGGTAGTCGACGATGCTGATTCCGAATATCACCATGAATGCTGCTGTTAGACCTTCAAAGACCGGTCTTCTGGAAAATCAGTCTTCGAGAAACTCTAAAGAACAACCAAGGCTTTCTTAATGAGGCGTAATTGTAGTTCATAAATTTCTGATTAAAACGGGGCATCTCCCAGCTCTACAGGATCTTCCTTTGCAAAGTTATAGAGTTTACAAGAAAAGCCCTAAATGTTCATTGTCAGCTCAGAGCTACAGAAAGAAAAACGAAAAATGAATTTAGGGCTTTTCTTGTAAACTCTATAACTTTGCAAAGAAAGGTCGTGTAGAGCTGGGAGATGCCTCGTTTTAATCAGAAATTTATGGGCTACAATTGCGCCTCGTTAAGAAAGCGACTACCTATAGTCCACTCGGTTTCGTTGAAAAAGCGAGTTATCAGTTGGGGTACTTCCCTCGTGAGGTACATTTATAAAATATGGACTTCACGATTTCTCAACTGAGATACAATTTTGACACGTGCGCTGAAACGTGCAATTGTGCAAGAGTGCAGTGTACTAAGGTCTATTATTCGATAGTTGTATAATTGTAAAATAGTGATAAGACATATCTAAAAAGGAAATGGATTTTGTTCGAAAAGAAACTCAAAGAGGAGCTCCTGCCATATTATTTCAAGAAAATCTTTTTCGTCACCAACGTACGAATAAAAATGGAAGTGAAAGATGGGTTTGTACAGCTAATGATTGTTCTTGTTCAATTGTTTTAAAAAACGATGAAATAATGTGTGTAAATGGTCCACGCACATAAAAACACACAATTTTCGGCGCATGTTGATCGAGTTATATCTGGTGTTAAGCGTAAAGCTGTTGAAGATCCAAAAACACCGATTCAACAAATTTATGATGATGAAGTTACAAAATTTGTAAGTTAAAATTCTGTTTGCACTAGTCCGGTTAAGAGCGGATATATGTGCTGCTATTTAGAGGCGACAGTATGGAACAGCTTCTGCACTGCCGGTTTTTGATTATATTCGTCCAACAGCATATCGTAAAAGACAGTCAGTGTTGCCACCGCTCCACAAAACTCGTGATTTAGACATAAGCACCGATGATGACCGGTGCATAAGAACTGATCTCTTTGTCACATTTTTTGCATGCATTACCTGATAGACTTCAGAAGTGTCACAAGTCAGGACGGCTTGCAAACAAAGTTATGGATCATTTCAGTCAAAAGTTTCAGAGTAACGAAGCCGTAATCAATGACTATTTGAAAGCCGCTGATCAAATCATAAATTGTTTTAAGGAGGAGAATGATGAAAAGAAAGATGATGTTTACAAAACGTGGTTGATAGAAACTGTAGGAAAATTATTACCCAAAAAACCTGAACTTATTAAAGCCATAGGAGAACTAGAATGTCCAATTCTAACGACGAACTATGACTCACTTCTTGAGGATATACTGACTAAAAAGCCATTAACCTGGAACAAACATTTTACTGAAGGTATTGGCGATTCTTTTGAGAACATGAAGAATTATCTTCTTCATGTGCATGGATACTGTGAGGAACCAGATAGTACCCAAGCAAATGTCACCTATGAGAAAAATCTAGATACATTTCGTCTGTAATCGGGCGATACACGACTAGTTGCCATCTAGATTACTAGTGAGAAAAGGGACTTTTAACTAGATGCGTCTGCAGGCGCATCTAGTAATAGTTGAATCGATCGATTATCGGGCGATAAATCGATAGGTATAACTAGAAGAAATCTAGTAATCGCTCAATTACTAGATTTCCACTGTCGTTACATAGTAGTTGCAATCGAGTAAAAATCTAGTAGTCTAGATGAATCGGGCGATACTAGATTTTTTTTTAATGCTTGGGTATGATTTTTAATAAAGAAGATTACAACCGAATTCTACATGATGACTTCGCTCAATCAAAGTTGAAGGCACTTATGGAAATAAAAACTTTGTTATTTATTGGATATGGTGCTGGAATGTCTGATCCAAATTTTTCTAATCTATTGACATGAAAATTAAGAGTAACAGGTCATAACTCGCTTCCAATTTATAAACTTGTCAAATCAAATAAAAACAAAATGTCATATCAAGACTCGGATGTTTCGTTTATAGAACATATCAAGACCATCGAATATGGCAACTCTACTGATGATCTATTGTCATTTATACAAAATCTTAAATCTTGTCCACCACTTACCGATGAAAGTTTTTTATCTGTTGAAGAGCAAAAAGAAAATATTCGTAAAAAATATCTGATATATCAATTTTAGGATATTCCAAGGATAACATTAGTTTACCTTTAGAACGGGTTTATGTAGAATTGAAATTTTATCCAACTCATCCATCTATCAAAGCAATGAAAATGCTTGAAATTTCTGAAGAATTTAAGCGTAAACTATTTTCTTATGGTTTCTTTGATGAGAATGAAGTGAAAAAAATTAATAGAGCCATCAGAGAAAGAAGTACCGAGAATCCTGAAACATTTTATAGGAATTTTATGACTGAACAATGGCTGAATGTATTATTAGGTAACAAAAATATATTTACTGAAGATGATGCAGATTCTATTAAGAATAAGGTTAATCAATTAAGAAAAGACATTTTAAAAAAATGTAACGTCAAAGAAATAAAACAATATCAAATTCGTCAAGCATACACTGAGTTTAAGCATTTTATTACCTTGGGTCATCCTGGCTCAGGTAAAACTACTTTATCGTAATGGTTGGTGATAAACATGGCTAAGCAATGTTTAGGTGAAGAAAATAATTTATTTGATAACGCCTCTTCTTTTAAAACAAGACTACCAATTCTTATTCCAATTTGGAAATACGTGGAACAATTGAAAGAAAATCAGGCCGACAAGAAAAAAACTTTACTTCAGTTTATTTATGAAAATCCTACGCTTGATTTTTAAAGATGAAGAAGAAAAGAAAGTGTTATCCTCTCTGGTTATAGAATGGTTAATCCAAGGAAGTGTTTTAGTTATTTTTGAAGGATTAGATGAGATTCCAGTTCATATGGATCGATCGGACATAATGAAAGAAAGAAATGCTCTACTCGAACGACCTATAGATTATGATGCAAAGATGAGCAAACTCTCTTACTCTCAGTCTAAGAACAGAAGGAAATCTGTGGAATGAAAGATCCAGATATTGGCAATCGATTTATTGTAACTAGCCGGATCGAAGGAAATTATTTTGATGAAATAAACTTTTATGTTCCAAGATTAACTATAGAGAATATGTCAAATGACGCTCTTAAATCATTTTGTAGTTCATATATGGAATGTATTGAAGAAATTTCTATTAAAAATGGAAGGCATATAAAAAATTACAAGAATGATCAGTTATATAACGACATCATGAAAAATAAAGATATTTTTCAATTGGCAATTAATCCACAGTTGGCTAGTGCAGCGATTTACAATCAGTACGAAGGTGAATTACAGGAGAAAAGAATTGATTTGTATGAAAAAGCGATAGAAAAGATGGTAGACCGGCTGATAACTCCTTTTATTAATTTTCCAACAAATTATTTAAGTAAAGAGTTTGGACTAAATACAGTTATGGTATGGTCAATAATGCAAGAATTAGCTGAATATCTGCACAGTAAAACTGAAGGATTGACAGAAGATATCTTGAGAGACATCATTAGAAAATGCCTGGTTGATTTTCAAAAACAGTTATCTAAAAGCACTGAAATGAACATCGAGATTTTGATCTCAATGCTTGTTGACATTTTTAAAATACAGGCAGGTCTCTTGAATGAATTTGGTCACAATAGTTTTCGATTTATCCTTCGTACATTCCAAGAATATCTTGCAGCTAAAAGCATCATCTACTTTTGTGGAGTAGAACGAATGAAAGATGAGATTTATGAAAACATTAAAAACAAAATTGCTATTCCAAATTGGAGAGTTCCTCTCAGTATGACATTTGGAATATCAAATAAATCAGCTAGGTATAGTGAGTTATTCAATAATATTATTACGAGTTTGTTGAAGGATGAGCAAACTTTATCTAATGCTCAATATTCAACGTCTCTAATACCGTATGTCATTATTGATTCATTAAACGATATGTTCTTTTTATCAACAGATACAGAATATGATTTGATTCGAAGACTGGGAGAACGACTATTGTCTGATTATAAAAATATTTCTGGTTTTTCACGATTAAAAGAGCATCAGCAATTGACTGAATCATATTTCTCGAAACTCGAAAAAGGATATAATAATTTGATTGCTGACTGGTTTATCGAAAAGATAGATGATAACAAAAACATTGCTCCAAGCGCCAACATCATTTACCATCTAAAATGGTATAAACCGACATTTCATGAAATATTCTTAAAAAATCTGCATAATGACTCAATAGTTTGGAACTGGCCAATCGATTGGATCTTACGGTTTTATTCAAGTACAGTTGAAGATGAATCAGTTCTGAAACAATTAATATTGAAGAATGAAATAAAGAATAAGTCAGATATTATCAAATATATCACAGAGAAGAACACCGATTGGTTATCGTTAATTGTAACACTTTATGGAGGATATAAAAATTACAACATTCAAAACAGTATTTCACAATATTTTAAAATAGTTCAATTGCTTGGGTTAAGTGACAATCAAAGAGCACCATTTCTCTATTATTATCGAGAAGTATGGGGAAGAGATGATCCAGCTCATAGCATGGCTGTGGATATTGTGAGCCAGCTCATTTTGTGGAGAACTTCAAGGACTATCCAATGCTATGTTTTCGAATAATACATAATTTTTCGTTATGGCAGGAAAACGACTAAAGGAGTGTTCAATGCACTAAGATAGGTGAAAATCATTATATCGGCCAAGTATTTCAACTATTGACCAGTGTGGGCATTTTTTGAAAGACTTATTTATAGCTCATTTTGAAGCTCGTGAAATTCTCTATTGAACAACATATAAAGTGGAGTAGCTCAAGAGAAAAACAATGGATATTATAAATATAAACGACGTTGACTTGCCGGTTTGCTGAGATGCTACCGAGTATTTCGGAGTCTAGACTATCCAGTTACATTATCTTAAGATTATCTTATACATCATTTTGAAGCCCGTGAAATTCTCTGTCGAATGATATATAAAGTGAAGTGGTTAACGGGAAGATTAGCCACCATTATAGAGATGAGCGACGATTCTACCGAGTATTTCGGATCTTAGAGTACTCAGTTACATTTTCTAAAGGCTATCTCATATATCATTTGTAGTTCGTGAAATTCTCTATCGAACGATGTATAACAGTTGATATTTACTCTTAATGAAACAGGTTGAATGATGTAAATACTTTAAGTAAACGTCGTTTAACATGAGAAGAGGTTTTTCTGCTAAAAGGTTTCCAGGTGCGCTGAGCAGGATCTTTAAAATTTAAAAATATGTTAGCGTTAACGTAAGACCGGTTTGAGCGTAGGCCGATTTTATCTCTTATCGTCCCGCGTGCTTTCAGTTTATTTCCAATTTTAAACACAAAAGTGTTGTATGGAGAGAAGAGAAGCAAGAGGATAATAATATGAATTCTTTCTTTTTCTGCTCGATCTTTTCATGTACAACTACTACCCAAAATGTATTTAATTCTGTCTGAGCAACGTTGTTTTTCTGGGTTTTTTTCACCGGTAAAAAGCAAAAGTTATTTATTTTTGCCTTCTATACCTTATACAAACAGTAGTGAGAAGAATTTTCTAAACGTTTGTGGTCTTGTATTTTTCTATACGTCTAAAATTGTTATGCAGTCGCTTTCACAGTTTTCTGTTCTTAAATGTATACGCCAAACTCGCGACAGAATTCGATTTCTTTATAACTTTTTTTAAAATAACATTTGATTTCAAAGCTATTAAAAGGAAAAAAAAATTGATCGTGCATTTACCATCTAGACTTTCGTCATCATTGGAATTTTCTTTTTCTTGGGAAAAAAAGAGAAATAGAAAACGGTTTTAGTATGTAGGAAAGAAAACGATGTTTCTTGTTGTTCAAATAATAACATTATAATAAAAAAAGAACACTATTCTAAACAGAAGTTATAACAATGCTTGAAAAGTGTTCTTTTTAACGATAAATTGTGCAACTGTAAAACTCCATTGACTCTTTTTTCAAGAAAATATTTTGTTACTGAATCAAATAAGTATCCGTTCTCAACTATGAGGATAAGAAATAAAGTTTCTATAGATGTATCACCTTTTGTCTTTCCCTTTTAGATTTTATTGTATTCAGTTTTATTTGTTCGTGATGATATAAAGACATGTTTCTGATATAATGGGTATCAGAAAAAAGTTGAGGGAAAAGATATTTGGGCCCAATCCTAATGAAAATATAACAGATTTGGTAGAACCGTTGTTACATCTGCTGGAAACGGGAAATGATGGTGATGAATCCCCCGTATTTTTGGACAAAGTTTACGCTAGCTTTAATGAATTTAATGAACAACATCGTCTGTTAAGTAGAAGTAAAAGTTATGAAGTTGATCTACGAATGATTATTGGTAGTACTATTGATAATATTGAAAATAAAAAATTTATGAACTGTCCTGATGTTTATTTTTATTTATATCGTAAAATAGATGAATATTCTAATTCATACCATATCTCGACAGTTTCGAACGAAACCAAGAAATTCAAATCGACATTGTTGCTTTATATACATAAAACGTTTAAATCAAGTCTAGGATCAGCACCAGATTTAACGACAACTAATGCAGTAATAATTCAGCAAATGAAAATAAGTCAATTTCTACCACAGATGTCCTTAGCATTTGCAGATCAAAATTGGAATGAAACAGTCGAATTATATCTAGCTTTATGTAAACTGACGTTTCAAGCAGCTACTTTGACGAACGATAAATCATTAACTTGGACAGATTTAATTAAAATGCCTCGTCAGAATACTGTTCCAGGCTCAAAAATTATTAACAGTTACTTAACCTTTACAGAGGCCTTTGAGCAATATTCACTCGATATTCCAGCCTTCATTCATTTAATGACAGTTACTAAGAAACCCACTTTTTTAGCAAACATTTTACATTACGCCAGGAAACTTGGTTATTTTAATCAAATGGAATTTTATAAACAGTACCTTCCGTTATTTAAGCGAGACGCACACAAGTATAATATAGCTGAAATAGCCGACTTTTTAAATTTGTTAGCCGATAATCAAACTTTAAATGAACCTTTCCAATATTATTGTGACGCATATTTCGAAAACTTACGAATAATTGCAGATGGCTGGAATGTATTTATTACATTGTGTAAAGTGGCTCTGAATGATTTTGTTCGAAAACATCTACTTCACGATGTTATGAAAAGTATTGAGAATACGTCAATTAACGAATTTAACAGTTTGATGAAATCTGCAATTAATGAATCAAAAATATTTACTGAACAATATCGGATAATATTTATTTCCATTTTAGAAAATATTTTCCATTTATACATAGAAATGCTCGCAAAGCATTCGTTGATTAAAGATGATTATGATCTTAAACAACTATTGAATACAGCTTATGAGTTATCGTTATTAAATCCTAAACCCTCATATGAACAGTATAAACTATTACTTATTGAATATCTAATGAAGTTATCATGTATCAATATAAATGATTCTATGCAAAACTTAAAATATTTGTTGACAGGTTTTTTCGATCTCAATAAACAGATATTAGACGAAAATGATACTATATCAACAATTATCAAAGATGAATGGCTTTCAAATTCTGTACCATCTGTACTTGCTTGGACAGAAAGATCCAGCTATTTTTATAGTGAACTAATACAGCAAAAGAATTCTTTTATTCTTTCTTTATGGAAACGTACTATTAAACTTAGTTTAACGAAATTGCAAATTATTGATTGTAATAAAGTGTTAGAAGCGTTTAGTCATTGGATTAAAGTTAATCACACCAATACACACGTGCTAAATGATACTTTAATAATCATATTAATTACTGATGTCTTTAGTGCAACTATTCCCCATCTCGATCTTATTAATCTTCCAAATATTGATCATCTCATTCAATACAATACTTTACATTTATCACAATCTCAAACAAATTACCGAGAAATTGATACGACAACTGTAACTGGATTTGTTCGAGAAGCTCGCCAGTTAATTCAGAAAATTATATCCCTTAGAGGTATGTGTATGTGAAAATTACAAACAATATGTACCATTCTGATGAAGTAGTTTCTATTAAGAATTTTTACCCAAGTAAAAGGATTCTGAGTTGTAGGGTTCATAAATGGAATCTTACGAGGGAACTTTTTTCGGTGAACTCTTCCGATTCCGTTCGTTCATATGTCGATCGATAGAGGGTATCGACCCAGCAAAAAGCATAAAAGGATTTGGGCTCATGACTCTTGAAGACCCGGTATTCTGAAAAACCAGTTTTTCAGAAACTCTAAAAAATAATCAAAACCACTTCCTAATGAGACATAATTGTAGCCCTGGGCTTTGACTGGGCTCAAATCCTTTTAGACTTTTTAACTAGCTCGATACTCTCTGCCGATCGACATATGAACGAAAGAAATCGGAAGAGTTCACCGAAAAACGTTCCCTCGTTAGGGAAATATTGAACAACAGTTTCCACGCTAAAGCTATCAACAAAGACAGGATTTTAAATAAATTTTGCTTTAATTTTAATAGTTATTTTTCTAACATAGTCCTATCGTTAAAACGGTGATATTAATCGCGTAAGACAAGACACAATAAAAGACGTAATGTCGACAGACATTATGTATTTTTGCTGGAATTTTTGTTTTTTTATTTTCTTCTTTTGTCCGTTTTTTTGGCAAAATGCGCACCTCGTGATCTAGAGAACTACGAAAGCTAGAAAACTTCTGGAAAAGGTAGGATAAACTCCCGACATTGAAGATTGATAAATGCACGTTCTGTTTTCAAAACTAAGTCCAGGTTGAGCGCCGTAAGCTACACAAGTAGAAGTATAATGCTTCTTGGACTTAGAAACTTTTCGTACATTTATAAGATTTGATTGTCCGGCGACATTTGTTCTTAAGACGAAAGATAATTTAATTCGTTGTTCTTATAATTATAAATAAAAATGGAAAGACACTTAAATTCTGAGAAGAGATGTTTAGCATAGGAATCTGACATCTCTCACTCCCACGAAAAAGGAATAAACAAGCCCGTCAGTCATAATTTCTACCCCACATCACAATTCAGCGTATACTAATGAATTATCAGAAAGCTAAGACACTGCACTGAAAACTGAGAACTTGAGAATTGTGAGAATTCAAGAATTGTGACAGTTGTGAAAATTGTGAGAATTTTTGCAGATCGAGGATTTTGGAAGTAAGGGAATGCTTTTTCTGAAATTTATATATAAATTTATCTGAACTCCAAGTTAAAAGTCTGAATGACACAGAAACAGTCGAGCTGGTTGGATCTTTCATGTACTTAAGAAACAACTGTATGGGACCTGTGCTCGATCTGACTGATATGAAATTTTAATAAAAATGTTACTATGACGACGGGGAAGATCGATTACTTATGAAACCGGCAAAAAAATTATTAAACAATGAACTTAGAACGTTAGCATTGACATAATTCTGGAAAAAAAAGGTATAGCATGAAACTTGTGAGGCTCTGCGGAACTTTCCTATATGAATCAGGTATGGTACGGATCAGCGAAACCTCATTAAGGTTTAGTAATTGAAGAGATTTCGTATGATTCTCTTCAAGATTTTGTATCATACTCTCCAAGGTTTCGTACTCGAGCAGGTTCCATAATACACCTCTTGAAGGTATAGTAGTAGAAAACATTTCGTACTATACCTCTCTCTGTGCTAATCTCATATGAGAGGGTGCTTGTGTTTTCCACTTATTAGCGCAGTATTCACGACAAGATAACGCACGTTTTGCGAACGCTTTGTCCCTTGACTTTAGGAACTTATATCTGCAGATCGCATGCGAACCATCTTCCATGACTTTTGAGTCAAAGACAACGATCGGCATTCGCTACTGGACTATCTGAAATATGTTGTGAATATTTCTCTAGTTTGATGTGTAACGTTCGTAATCCAATGAGAATCTGAAAAGCTTTCTCGAGATCCCCAGACGTCTAAAATATTTCTGAATTCACGAAAATGCTCACACCTTCCTTCGATCGGTGTTCACAGCCAGGATAGCTGAGAAATGTTGTGAACTTTTCTGATTTCACGTAAAAAAGCGCACAATATAATATAAAGCTAAAACGTTTTCTACACACCCTCTGAAGAACTTAAAGTGGCTGGAAGTATTTCTGATCGATTCTCTATAATAGACTATCAATATTCTGTAAGTTTTATTATCCGTAGATGACTTTTTTGTGTTATCAAAATTAACTAACCTTTTCTGCCCACTCTCTTTTTTTTGTCTTTGGCAAGGTGATATGTTTCTACAGTATGCGAACTCAGCTAATTTTTTTGATAATATTTTCTTTTACTCTATTTGACAATCCCAATGTATTCATGCGTATTTTTATTAGAAGATGATTTTAGAGTCCTAACCATAAAATGAGAATATACATTACATATTGCTTGCTCCCTTATGTGTATCACACTAAGTACCAAAAGTACTTATTTAAAAATTGAATGAAATATTGATCGCAAGATCGGCTGCTTATTTTTATCAATCTTACGATTATTTCGACTTGATAGAAAAACCCATAACGATCTTTATTTTATTCAGTCATTAGCTCACATGCTGGTTTAAAGCTATATGATCAACTGCAACGTCTCTTATTTACTGTATATGTTGTTTATACACAAAGTGCATAAGAATATTGTTTTTGACTTTTTCTCTTTTTAGCAAAATGTTCCATTTACATAAAACTTTATTATTCACCAAGTAGTGCAGATCGTTTGTATTTGTTAGCCAATGGCATCCAGTTGTCTCAAATTAAGTTCCTAGATAGTGAAGAACGTAAATTTCCAACCATCATTCCAGTAATTGATGAGATAATGATGCCTTTGCAAAAACCCAAAGATATCAGACTTCTTAATGGTTTGGTTGATTTTATTGCACAAGCATTTGAATGGATCCAATGGTTTGATGGTTTCATCAGTACATTTCAACCTATTATTGCGTGGTTAAAAAATTATAGAGTAGATGATATGGATACTCTATTAATCGATCTGAAAGAAATAGTAGAAAATGATATGGATTTAGTGTTTGTGAAAAACGTCGTTAAACATCTTCTAGATAAACTCATGCCATTATCAATTCATTTACAACGTTTATGTCGATTGTTTAGCTGTTTAACATCATTCACAATAATTAATCACGATGCAATTAGTCTAAATCGAAATGCTCAAGAATTTATCAAAGAAATAAAACAGTCATCACCAACAAGTACATTTGAAGTTGGCACAAAATCTTTTAATGAAAAACTAATTAAAATCGATGGCAGACAATTGATACAATGGTCATTAGCGTGTGAAAATTGTCCTTGTCATATTCAAATATTTCATACAAGTTCAACAGCAACAAATAACTATCACCGGAAAATATTATTTGAAGAACAAAATTTACAGATTAATTCTCATATACTAAAAGGAGAATATGAAACACAACGTGGAGGAAATTTTATATTTCGAATTAATAATCAATTTGGATTTCACTCAATGAAACTATGGTATCGTGTACGTATTACAAATTTATTACCGAGTACACTATTTCTTAGTATATTTAAAAATTGTTTTGGGGAGTATCCTAATGAACAACAACAAATAACAACGAAACATATAGCTAGTTTATTAACTAAAGATGTATTTAAATTTATTGATCAATTATTAATTGGTGATGTGAGTCTGACTGAAATGTTAAATTTAAAAACAACATTTTCTAATCATAGTATTGATGTAAAAAACGAAGTTACAAAATTATACTTGTCTCAAGGTGGTAATAGCAATAAGCTAAAACGACAAATCGAAAAAATATGCAAATGGTTACAAATATATCAATATTTTAGTTTCGTATCAACAATTCTTGATTGTATAGAAATATTTAAAATAATTGATGATAATAATCACTCAATCGCACAATTAAAAAATCTTAGTAATATTGATAATAAACGTTTAAAACATATATCAGAGTCAAATGAAACATCAAAATTTATATTCAGTGGACTAGATAATAGACATTTACAACTAATTAAAGTAACATTAGAATGTAAATCTGTTGTACAAATGTTTAAAAATGCTGAATTATATAGCAGAAAAGGACGCTTAAGATTTCGTGAATTACGTGATAATTTAACCACACAATTTCAATTACAAGAAAAATTTAATATAATATTAAACGCTCTTATTGTTACTTATGCCGTATGTGAACCATTTGTTTTAAAAGCAATAAATATTGAAGAATTTTTTAAACGTCTATTAAGTTTACATAATATTGATGAAGCAATTAATAAATTACGAATTGTTAATGAAAATATACAATTAGTTACTTTATGGTTAGCAACCGATGAAACAAGTACGTTAGATAATGCACTAATAACAATGGGACGTTTGTATAAAAATGGAAAAGTTGACATCCATTTAAGACATTTAATTAATGAGAAATCATATTTTGAATTAAATTATTATATTGAAAAAATCAGTAACATTACAACATTGTATGACACTGATACATATGAACAACAGAGCCTTGTGGAACGTCAGAATAGTAATGAAATAGGAAAAATTCATTTTACAATGTCACAGTCCGATATAATTGATCATAAACGACAACTAACATTTTGCAGTGTGGATTTACAAAATATTTTATATAAAAAATTGATGCTTGATGAACAACTGGAAATATTAAAAATTATTGAAAATATTTTTTCTTTATTGATTAAACTAGAGTCGGTAGGACATCCACATTATCAAATGAAAGTAATATCTTACGATATTGGTGATAAAAATGGTGATTTATCTTCAATAATGAAAAAAGAAAATGAACAACAGCAATTGAATACATCCGATATAAATCAAGTGCAAACATGTTTAAAAGATTGGATAGATAGTTTAAGAACTCAATTAAAAACTTTAGAAATAACACTAAATAATTGGTTACATTCACTTCAACGTTGTCGTCAAAAATACCCAACTCTGAAATTGTTTACAAATAGACAAATAATGATTATGTTAATATTATTATCATCATCATCATCAAATACAGAGTTAAAAGCAATATTTTTGAATCGACTGTATGACAATTACGTCTTAAACAATCAACAAAGTGGTGATGATGAAGAACAACAACAAGAACTATTAACTACCGATTGTATGAAGCATTATCTGCGAATGATTGAAACGCACAGATATCAGACTGTTAGTGATGATTTATTTGAAAGATATGTGGAAGAATATTCCATTGAGTTAAATGGTGATATTGAACAAGCATTAGATAAACTGTGTCAGTTTTTGAATGAAGTAACAACATCACCAAATGCTAGATTACATAACACATTGAAACTGAATAGTAAACGAATTACTACTTCAGCAATGACAACAACTACAACAAATACTAATGTAAATGAAAATCAACAATACTTGATTTCATTAGATTCTCATATTAAAATATCACCAGGATTATTACAACAAAACAATGATACAGACACTGATAGATGGTGTAAACTGTTAAATATATTCAATAAACAATTACCATTATCATATCAAATTCTATGGGGTTCAGCTGCAACAGACAGTGATATCGCGTTATTTTTTTCTAGAATTCGAACATACGTTCATATGAAATTTGTTATTATTGATATTGATAAAATGGATCATCGTACACATGAAATACTTTTAAATGAACAAGATGAATTATCGAAACAAACAGAGCCACACGCTGAAGTATTTTATATGTCAAAAGAGCTCAGCTGCCGAAAAGGTATGAGACAATGGACTAATTTCCAAGCGATCTATCCAAATTTAATACGTTCACGAATTAATGATAGTTATCGTCAAATGAATACTACACGGCCACAGATTAGAATTTTATTGGGCAAAGCCGGAACTGGTATGTCAATTGTCCTTGTTATTTCACGTTTTCTTCAAATCATTAAAAGTATCAGACAGATGAGACTATCTCCGCCTTAAAATCTTAACCAGTGTGCATATTTTACGAGGGAACTCTACAGCCATTCGAGCAGTTACTTTTCGTTGCTAAGTTTTCGAATTGTGAGAAAGAGGTACAGAGATTTGCGTCCATACGGCTTCTTAGCCGAGCTATATGGTTTTGTTAAACCTGAAGTTTCAAGAGTTTGCCTCAAGAGCCATTGCACGTAAGCCATGATCTATTACAGCGGAGTAGCCTTCAATCGATGTTCTCAAAACTTTTTCAAACTAGGGGGCTCTTTTGATAAAAGGCGCAAATCAAAAAGTCGTATCGTTCTTGAGATATTGAAATTTTACGAAAAGCCCTGAAAAACGTGAATTTCGCCAAGAAGAGTAGCACGTAGTCGATCATGCTAAATCGGATGGCAGCGTTTAGTTTATTTTACTTTAAGTTACTCTTCCTCTTTCAGGGCTACTCGAAGGCACTGAGCGCCAGTCCTGGGGCTCCATGGAAATCAGATATCCCGTCCAAATCACTCAAAATCAAAGTCTTGCTTGGCTCCCAGTTTGAAGAGGACACTTTAGGCTATTTACTCATAAAAAAACAATATATTGCTACTATATCGTTTAGGGTAACGAAACGGTTTTCTAGAGATTTTCTAGAAAATCGGTCATTGAGAAATACTTTCAACTTTGTTTTAGTCATAAAAAGAAGCTTAAAGACTTGACTATCGAATCGCAAAAACCACAAGTTTCTATCACCTTTCGTTCTTGAGTTATTCAAAAATCACTGACTGGCATATGAAAATGTTATGATCTGCCTTCCCCGGCAGCTCATAAGGTTCATTCTCTCTCCATTCTGCTCTTGTATCTTTCTTGCGCAACTCTTGTTTCATTCTTTCCTTTTCGTTTCCTTCCGCAGTGTATTTTCCCACTCTTTCTGTTCTTGCACAACACTTTCGTCAGTCTGTGATCTTCCTAACTATTTCTGTTGTTATGTAATTCATGAGCAACTCTTGTTTAACTTTGTACTATATATAGCTGTTCATTTGCTTCAAATAAAGATATCGGAGTGAGA